TGCTGGATGCACGGAGCAGGTTGTGTTGCTGGGGTCGGTGCTGCGGGATGCACGGAGCAGGTTGGGTTGCTGGGGGTTGGTGGGTGCAGGATGCACAGAGCAGGTTGGGTTGCTGGGGGTCGGTGCTGCAGGATGCACGGAGCAGGTTGGGTTGCTGGGGTCGGTACTGCGGGATGCACGGAGCAGGTTGGGTTGCTGAGGGTCAGTGGGTGCTGTGGGATGCACGGAGCAGGTTGGGTTGCTGGGGGTGGGTGCCGCAGGATGCAAAGAGCAGGGTGGGTTGCTGCGATGCTGGGGCCGGGCAGAGTGGAGCTGCGGGGATCCCGGCAGGATGCTGGAAATTGTTTATGGGAGTCTGGAGAACTCTGCAGCTTTGCAGCTCACCGCAGGTGCAAAGGGGGAGGCTCACCCATGCTGCCCAGCCCTCGGCCACCACAGGATCTGGGCTGGGGGTTATTTCTCCTTCTGCTCCCCCCTGGGGTTGCTTTTCCCCTTGGTTTCATTGGAAGGAAGCCGTGCTTGTCCCTGCACCCATTGCGGCCACCCTGAGGCCAGAAAATCTTGGCGGAGCAGCTTTGCTCACCCACGCAGAATTTTTGCAGAATTTTTCGCGAGGTCTTTCCTTGCCCATTGTCCCCTCTCGGGGTGGCCTTGGGCATGTCGCGTGGTTGCTTTCCCCGTTGTGAACCTCCACGGGCAAAGGCTCCCCCTGCCCCAGGATGGTGCCCGCTGGCACAGCAGTGGTGGGCGATAACCAGTGACATGGAGATGTCCCCCTGCAGTGATGCAGGTGACAAGCAGGGACATGCAGAGGGGACCAAACAACGTCACCGTGCCCCGGGAGGAGAGCTCCGAGCTGGCACGCTGCAGCCTGGGAAGGTCCAGCAGTGGGATTAATAACGGGCTAATTAATAGAGGAAAGATGCCATCGGTGCCTGGAAGATGCTCAGCTCCTCCGTGACCGCCCCACGGTGCTCCCAGAGCCCGGTCCCCTCCCAGCGCACCCCAGTCCCCTCCTGGTCCCCCAGCACCGCCACTGCGGGAAAAAAAAGCCGGTTGGGTGGTGGGCTGGAGCCCTTCGCATGTGCGCAGCTGCTTTCTCCCTCTCTGTACTTGGACGATTTTAATTCAAACCAAATGGTTTCGCCGGGTTTCTCCTCCGCGGAATGGAGGGGGTGAGCTGCCAGGCGGGTCCCGTGCCAGCCCGCAGCATCGCGCCGGCCGCATCCCACCGCAGCCTAAAGAACAATGGGGATTATTTATTTAAAAAAACAAAAAAAACCCCAAAATCTCATTATTTGTGTGGGTTTGGCTTTGAGTCCCCCACCCCGGGCTGCGTTGGAGACCCAGTGTCGATGCAAGGCAGAGCGAGAAGATGACATTCCCCTGCCTGGATCAGTGTTTTTGGGGTGCACCAAGCGTGCAGTGGGGTGCTGGGGTCCAGGATTGGGCTTTACTGGGTGCTACTGGGCTTGCTGGGCAGGGGGTTGCTGGAGCAGGGCTAGGAACTGCTGAGAGCAAGAGGTTTCCCCCAAATTTCCAGGTTCTGGGGTGGGTTTCCTCCTTCGGGAAGAGCCCTGGGATGCGGGATGCAGGTTGCTCCTGAGCCTGGGTGGGTTTTTTCCCTTGGGAAGAGCCCCGGGATGCTCCTGAGCTGCGGTGGGTTTCTTCCCTTGGGAAGAGCCCTGGGATGCGGGATGCAGGATGCTCCTGAGCCTGGGTGGGTTTTTCCCCTCGGGAGAAGCCCTGGCAGCCCCGGGATGCGGGATGTGGTGCTTGGAGGCTGCCAGCAAACCGCACCCCGAGCCGTGGAGACCTGCCGAGCCGGCCTGATGGTCCTCATTAGAGAGCAAGGGCTGAGCTCAGGTCCAGGATCCGCAGCCAGAAGGGAAACCTGACTGTTCAAATGAAAACCTCAGTGGGGGAAGAAGGAGGCTTTAAGGTCTGTTTTTAGGAAAGGGAAGCGGATGCTGTTAGCAGCCAGTCTGACTCAAAGGCAAACACAAGCCAGGCGAAGCCACGCGGCAGAGCTTCGTAGCATCATGACCCGTCTGGCAAAGCCCAGAGCCACCCCCAAGCCTGGTGCCTCCTTCTCCAGCCCCTCAGCAACCAACCTCCTTCTCCAACTGTGGAGAAAACCCTGGGGCCAAAGAGGGGCTGGTGGGGTGAAGCTTTTGGGGTTTGAGGTCAGGCTCCCACCTCTGAGCACCAAGGAACAGGGGATGTCCAAGCGCTCCTTGGGAGGAGACGGGGTTGCACCTCTCAGGAGGGTCCCCACCTCCACGGGGTGGTTTCTGATGCTCCACTTCTCCATCCCTTCCAGTCTCCAGACCGCAGACTTCCCCCGAGGACCTGAAGGCCCTGATGGGGAACGTCAACCGCCTCAACGAGAGCTTTCGGGACATGCAGCTGAAGCTGCTGCACCTACCTCTGAAAGGGGACGTGCTGGATCACATCTGGAGGCTGCAGGACCTCCTGCAGAACCACTCGGACTCCTTGTTCCTCATGACGGGGTCACTGCAGAAGCTGGAAGGGCTTCTCTGGAGCCTGCAGACCCAAGCCAGCCAAACGGACAAGGCAGTGTCCAACCTCTGGGACAGCTTGTCCCAGCAGAACGACGCGGCTCAGCAGGAGATGTACAAGCTCTCCGTGGAAGGCAACAGCAGCCGGCTGCTGCTGCAGCACCACGACCGCCTCCTGAGCCACCTGGGCAGCAGGGTGGAGAGCCTGAGCGAGCAGGTGACGGCCGTGAACGGGGCCATGGACACCATGAACAGGACCTTCTCCTACGACGTGAACATCCACCATACCCGCATCCAGGACCTGCAGGTGCTGATCAGCAACGCCACAGAAGATGCCCGGCAGATGCGCCTCATCCACATCGCCATGGAGGAGCAGCTGAAGCACGAGCTGGCCATCCTCAACAACGTGACGGAGGACCTGCGGCTGAAGGACTGGGAGCACTCCGTGGCGCTGAAGAACATCTCCGTGATACGGGGTAAGCCCAGCACCTCTTGGAAGCAGCTCCTTCACTGGTGCATGAGGAGGGGGCTGTCCTTTGGGTGGTGGCAATGGGGATGTCCTGTGAGGATGTCTCAGGTACTCGTTGGTGTACCAAACCCACCAGGCACCACCACTTAAGTGTCTGCGGTGTTCAGGTATCTCCATCACCTTGGACTTTTGGACTCTCTCAAAATGCTCCTCCATCCATGTCAGGAAGAAAGCTCCCAAGGTTCCCTCAGAGATGCCAGGAGAAATCTGCCAGGTCCCTGCTGACCATGAAAGTGAACCAGCCCAAGCGTGGCAGACATGGTGGGGTTTTTTGCCTTGCTTTGTACGGCAGTGACCAAGCAGGAGGCTGCCCACCGGTGCCTTCGGTCATCAGCACTCTCATCATTGGCTTTACTGTACATCCCCTTCACTCTCTTCTCCCTCTCCCATCTGCCCTCAGCCCCTCCCAAATCATAGAATCATCCATCCCAGGATGGTTTGGGTGGGAAGGGACCTTAAAGCCCATCGAGTACCACCCCCTGCCAGAGTCCCACCCCCTGCCATGGGCAGGGACACCTCCCACCAGCCCAGGTTGCTCAAAGCTCGGAACCTTTTCAGGCTGTTGGCTGGTGATGACAGCTCGGGGAGGTCCCCAGGCTCGTCTCCAGCATCCCACCACGCCAAGCAGCTCGCGTGGCTTGGAAGGGGCTTGACCTGACAGCGCAGAGGGGCTCTTAAATAACGGTGTCACCGGGATGCACGGTGTCATCCACCGCCCACCCCGAGCCACTTGCACAACTCCCTGGGTGGGATGTGCTGGCTCGCAGCAGGTCTGGCAGGGTGATGGCAGCGGTCCCAGCTGGCCGTCACATCTCTGCGCGTCACGCGAGCCCTCATCCCGGCGGGTTTGGAGGGTTTCTCTGCTCCGCCGATGCAGCGAGCTCAGCCCTGTGCCGGCAGGAGGGTGAAGCAGGGCTGCATCTGGGCTGGGGTTTCATTCCTCAAACGCTGTGGGGTGGGGACCAGCTTGGCACGGTGTCCGCAGTGCTGCTCAGCCTCTCCAAGCACCCCTCCCACTGCTCCTCCGTCCTCCAGCCCAGCTGCTCCGTGTCCCATCCCACCAGCTGTCCCTGGGACGGGACCATCTCTGCTGGTGGAGCTGCCTGCGTGGAGCCAAGAGGAGATGGGCTGGTGGCTGATGGACCGCAGGGCTCGCTGCTCTGGGAAGAGCTCTGGAGGATGAATGCCAAAACCTTGGAGCCAGCAATGGGATCAGCCCCATGATGTGCCCATCCCCAAGTCCCGTTTCTAACCCCAGGCATTAGGGAAAGGGAGGAAGGGACAAGACATCTTGCGGAGCTCTTACGGAGCAGCTGAGATTGTTGCCCATGGTCAGCCTCCATGAGACTTAGTTCCCTTCCTAGCCTGCCCATGCCCGTGAGCTCCCTGAGGTCCAGTGGGTTTTCTGGGATGGAAGAAGAGATCAGGATGAGGATGAGGATGAGGATGAGATGGGATGAGATTGAGATTGAGATTGAGATGAGATGAGATGAGATGAGATGAGATGAGATGGGATGAGACTGAGATGAGATGAGATGAGATGAGATGAGATGAGATGAGATGATGAAACGGTGGCAGAGGACTGGGGGGCTGCGCTGTAGCAGCTGATTTTAAGGAGGAAGGGCATCTCCAACCCCCATCCCACCAAGAGATGCCCCGAGCAGACAGCTCCCATGTTCCAGGGTTAACAGAACCGAGGTGGAGCCCTGCTGTGGGCTATTTCCCAGTGTGCCCATCAGACCAGGGCAGATGGAAGTTGTCAGAGCTGGCCCTGCACACAGAGCCTCAGCTGAGCCGTGCTGGAGCCAGCACAGGGAAACAGGACGTTTCGTGTCAGCAGTGCCATGGGTGTGGGACCCCATCCCTCCGGAGAGGATCCTTGGGGTAAAGTCGGGGTGAGGAAACGGGAGACCTTTCCTCAGTGGCTCCCACCGCAGATGTTTCCAGGGTTGCTTTCAGTTTTGCTGGCAGTTGGAAAGCATCCATTTTGTTTAAGCCAGTGGTTTGCAGCAGCCCAACCTTTGCTGCGCTGGGGTGCAGCAGGGGAGGGAAGAACATCCGAACCCAGGAGCACAACTGGCTCTGGCAGAGTTTTCACGGCTCATCCTGGGACCTTCGGGCAGGAGATGTACCAGCAGAAAAACTCCTTTGCCTGGACGCTCCCACTGCTTCCCATCAAGCTCACCCCGATAAAGCCACAGGTCTCTGTCGGGCTCTGCTTTCTGAAACGCCCCGTGGGCTGAAATGAATGGTATCAACATATTTTAATTATTTTCTTCTACATTCTCCATTAGTTCTTTATTTCAGAAGGGGTTGGGTGGTATGGGGCAGCCTGAACATACCCCCATTGTTCCACTTTAACAAACTGGCGTGAGTGGATTGAGATGAGATTTTGGGAAGAAATGTTTTCCTGTGCGGGGGGTGAGGCAGTGGCCCAGGGTGCCCAGAGAAGCTGTGGATGCCCCATCCCTGGAGGGGTTCAAAGCCAGGCTGGATGAGGCTTTGGGCAACCTGGGCTAGTGGGAGGTGTCCCATGAACATTGCTGGACCATCATGGAGAATCCTGCCTCTCCTACCCAGGGCCAGGCAGCATCCCTGCTGCTCGTGGTTCCTCTTGTTCCCACCCCAAAATGCCTCCTCAGGGTCCTCAGCTCTCCCGAGTGCCCATTGTTCTTTGCATCCTTTTTTTTTTTTCCAACTGAGAACAGGAGACGTGTCCTGGGGGTCTGGGTCCAGCCCAGAGAGGGGCATCATCCAGGGGAGAGGAGACCCAGGGCAAGCTGATGCAGTATTTCCCTCCCAGCCCCTGACCACCTCCAGCTTGGGATGTTTCCTGAGCTTGCTGCGGTTCATCTGCTCAGGATCCCGCTCATTTCTGCCCAATATTTGCAGATCCTAATTGCTTGTTCATTAGGACTGCTGAGCATCCCCCCTCCTCCTCTCCTGACCCTCTTGCGTCACCACGTTGCCCGTAGCCCTGGCTGCTTGGTTGCTTGATGCTCAGCTGGGAGATTATGGCTTTTGGGGTTTCTAGGAAAACGATGTTGAACAGTTTCCAATGATCCCCCAGGCTTGGTAGGACAAAGCCCAAATGACCCCTCCAGGCCTCTCTCTGCCCTATTTTCTACCATCCCGTGAGACTTTTTTTTTTTTTTTTTCCCCTGTTCAAATTCTTTCTGCCAATTGATTTAGCTCATAATTGTTTTCAGCTTTGCCGACTTGGCCCTTTGCAGGCTGAGGACTAGAGCTCTGTTGCTGGCTTGGAATTTCTGCTCGCTCACGAGGGTTTACAGCGAACAGCAAAGATCACCGACGGCCGGTTCCTGATGAGGTCAGGGACACAAACCCCCTCGTAAAGGTTCATCTCAGTATTTCCAAAACACTTTTTTTTTTTTTTTCCTTAACATTATTGGAGACATCACAACTTTTGGTCAAAAGGGAATTCCAGGAGGAATTTCCCATAGTGTCATGCTCAGGTGGAAGCCCAAGGTGAAGCTTTCTGGCACATGGGGCAGGTTGATGGAGTCGTGTTTGGCCTTTGATTGGCCTTTGGTCATGGAGGAAGGCTGCTAACAAGCTCCCTTGCTCTCATTTTGCTCCTGTCTGTGCTTATTAGAGGTCCCTGGACACCTAATCCTGGGTGAAGGGTGGGTGGGTGCATGCGCTCATGCATCTGCTGTGTTTCAGGGCCACCAGGACCCAAAGGAGACCAAGGCAATGAAGGGATGGAGGGTGAACCTGGGCTTCCTGGCTTGCCTGGGCTTCGAGGTAAGGAACCACACACCCAGGGTGCTCATAACCCTGCAAACCTTCACCCACAGTCCAGAGAGTCCAGGGGACACCTCCTGGTGACATCCCAGCCTGTCCCTTGGGACCTCGTTGGCTACGCACAAGTCTTGGAGAAGAACAGGATTAACCTGCTGCCCCATCTCCTGCCAGCCTTCAAGGGGCAAAAAGTCCCTCTCGTGTCCCAGCTGGCCCCAGTGGGAGCTCCACGGGTCCATCACCTGCAGGTTGGTGCCCCCAGGCTCCAGAGCCGGTGAGGGGCGGTCCCTCCAGCCTGGCAGAGGGGTCTCGGCCACCGGCTGCAGCTCTGAGGCTTTTCACGGGACACTATTTTCAATGTCAAGAATGATAATTGTTTTCCCCTTCTTAATTGCAACCATCATTTTTGAGATAAATTCAATTTGAAAAAACAACAGAAGACACCCCCCCCACCCTGAGAAACAGGACTTGGCTTGAGCCTGGCTCTAATTTTAAGCCCAACACAGAAATACTGGCTTTGCATCCAAGAGCCGGGGCTGGCACGGAGGTGATGGAGGCTTCCCCTGCGGGAGGACTTTCTGTCCCCAAGTCTCTTTCCTATTGAGGTGACAGGATCACGGTGTCCCTGCCCATGGCAGGGGGCTTGGAACTAGCTGATCTGGAAGGTCCCTCCCAACCCAAACCATTCCCTGGTTCCATGATTCCACGATCCATCCTGCCTGGATGGAGCATCCATCCTCCTTCTCCATCCTGGGTGTCCAGCCCTGGCTTGACCTTGGCTGCCGAGGACACGACCCGCGCAGGACTATCGGTGTCGGAGCAGGGGGGTTCAGCCCATCCGAGCATCTGAGCTGGGCTTAAACCCCTCCTGTTTTGGTGCCCCTTTCCCCCGGCTCCCCGGCGGGCGGCAGGACCAGCCAAGTGAGGCAGAGCCAGCTTGGAAACACGATCACGCTCTGAAAGCCCTTCTCGGTGCTGGCTGCCCGTGCGGCTTTCACCGACAGCTATATTTTTTTGCGCTGACAGATTCATGGCTGTTTTACTTGGGTGTAACAAGCATCAGAAATACATCGTCTGGCTTCTTTCCTTTTTTTTTTTTTTTTTTTTTTTGTGTGTGTGTTTAAACAGAAAAACAAAACAATCTCTGGAGGGTTCACCTTCGGGAAGAGTTGCTCAAAGGGCCACTATTTTTAGGTCTTTCTCCATCTCACTTTCTCCGGTGGTCACAGCGCCAGCCCTTTGGGTACGAGAAGGTCAGGATGCTGTAAAGCATCCCTGGTAAATCCCTTTTGCACAGCGGATCCACCATCCTGCCCCAGCTCCATAGCCATGTCCTGACACGCTGCAGCATCCCTCTGGGAGGGGGGCGAGGTGTTGGCTGGGAAGGAGTTAAGCCCCAGACCATGTCCACTGGAGCTGGTGCCCAAATTCCTCCTGGCAGCTTTTTTTTTTTTTGGTCTTAAACCAGAGGAAAATATTGACTAGGTTTGGAGAAGCGCCGCTCAGGAGAGGCAGACGGTGCAGTGCCGGGGCAATTCAGGGCTCATCGTGCCAGGCAGAGGGCTGAGCTCGGGTGCTGGAGGAGCTCCATCTGAATGGCTTCTCCCCCAGGAGCTTCAGATCTGACCCAATCTCAGGCTCTGGCTGAGTCCTTGCTGGGTCGATCTGGTGGGACCACCCCCAGGTGCCCCCAGAGCCCATCACCAGCACAGGGGTCCCTCCCTCCCCTCCCGTTGGTGTCCCATGTGGATGGAGGTCATCTCCAGGGCTTGCGGGTGTCCCCTGTGAAGGGAGCCCCAAACTACCGCCCCCGTTTCCCACCTCCTGGAGGTCAGGGGTGCTCAGATAAGGGGGTTTCATCCAGTCCCACCTGGTCAGAGAGCATGAATGCAAGGGACCTGCAGCATCATGTCTCCTTGGGGGTCTCTGCTTCGCCCTGGCTCCTCGCTCTTCCTCCTTGGTCTCCAGCTTTGGAGCCCAGTTACCTTAATCTGAGCCTTGAGATGCTCAGAGCTTCACTAGCACCAGCCCATCTCTGGGTTAAATCCATCCTGTTATCCAGGGGCAGGTGCAGAAGGAGAGGATGGGTGGGTTCTCAGGTGTCTCCTGATGGTCCATAACTCCTGGCAAAGAACCAGAATGCGACTGGCACATCTGCTGGCACTCAGGACATGTGTGTGTGTGCACATCTGGTTTGTGTAGATCGCTGCTGCAACAGGGTCATTTTTGCCTCTTTGTCCTCGCTCCAGGGCTACCAGGGGAGAGAGGACCACCAGGACCACGTGGCTTGAAAGGCGACCAAGGAGACCTTGGCCCCCCAGGTCCAGTGGGGATGCGAGGATTCAAAGGTAAGGACCAGCCTCTGCGCGTGCTCTCGGGCGGGTCATGGGGTCCAGAGGGGCTTGTTGGGCAGCAAACTGGCTCTGGGGACCATCGGGACATGGGGCAGAGATGCTGGTGGTGGGTGTGAGAGTGGTGGGTCCTCTGGCTTGGGACCCACCTGGAGTTCCTGGGGGGAGAGGAAATCTTGGTGAAGGAAAATCATGTGCACCGAGACCTTTCCACCGATGCACAGCAGTGGAGATAGTCCAGGGATGGGAGGCAGAGGGCAGAGCAGTTGGATTGTGATGCTCCTACCACGCAGTGGGGTTCAGGGCGGGCAGTGCTGCCTGACCGAGCCCTGGCCAGAGCCCTGTGAGGACCTGCCCTCCCACGTGTGGCTCTGGTGGGGTGTCAGGAACAGCCTGGTGTTTGTTTTCTGGTGACCTTTTTGGGCTCGCTGTGGTTTTGCAGCGCCTCGCCACACCCCGGCTAAGAGCAGGGAGAAGCTGTGGGTGTAGGAAGTGGCCACGCACCTATTTAGCAGGACAGATCTGTCCCAGGAGACTTTTTATAAGAAGTTCCATACTGCAACAGGATGGGTGATCCCAAAACATGCTTTTTCTGCCTCAAAATGCCTTGTGGGCAGGGGGCAGGCAGGAAGAGCACAGCCCAAGGACAGGACACCACCCTGGGCAGAGCTGCCCTGCCTGCAGCCTGCCCTGGACACACTGACCAAAGTGGTGGATTCCCCTCATCTCATGCCGGTGGGGGATGTTGACCTGGGACGTGGCCATGCTGGCCACCAGTGTCCAGGTCTGGAAATGCCGGGAACCCTGCAGGCAGCACTGCGGGCAGAAGGGCAGCAGTGCGGGCAGGGAGTGTTGCTGTCCCTTCTTCCAGATGTCCCAAGCGTTATTCATCTTGCTAGATCTTGCTTTCATGCAGCGAGCATCTTGGGTGAATTGCACATGTGAAAGATGAAGGAAAACATCAGTGTTGTGGTTTAACCCCAGCCAGCACCTCAGCCCCACGCAGCCGCTCATTCACTCCCCCGCGGTGGGATGGGGCAAAAGAATCAGAAGGGTAAAAGTGAGAAAACTCGTGGGTTGAAATACAGACAGGCAGGTGTTCAGTCATCCCCAGGACAGCCATCGTGCGTAACGGTGACTTGGGAAGACAAACGCCATCACTCCAAACGTCCCCCCCTTCCTTCTTCTTCCCTCAGCGTTATATGCTGAGCATGACGCCATACGGTCTGGAGTATCCCTGGGGTCAGCTGGGGTCAGCTGTCCCATCTGTGTCCCCTCCCAGCTCCTTGTGGACCTGGTGTCCAGTTCTCCTGGATGTCCTCCAAAGTGCTGGTCATCGACAAAGACAGAGATTGGGATGAGACCCCCATGTTGTGTCTGGTGGCCCATCCTACATATTCAGTAGCCACACTGGTGGCCATTTCCTGTATCTTGCATGCCATCAGAAAGCTCCTTGTAGTTGAGAGGCAGGAGCACATCTTCCATCCTTTCTCCACTTTGTGGTGTCTTTAGGAGAAGGATCTTTCCTAGAGGGAAAGGTAGATGGGAAACACCATCTACCTCCCAGTGCCTCCCAGTGCAGCCCCAGGAAGCTTTGGGTCCAGCTAGAAAGGAGATGGAGGAGATGAGATACTGCTGGTGGCCTCCTTCTGTAGGGAGAGAGCAGCAGGAAGCTCCCAGAGCTGCAGATCAGCAAGAAGGTCTCGTGCAGGATTAGCAGATGTCCAATCCTTCCCTTGAGCTGTCACTGCTGTGATCACGCACCCTACTGACACGATGGCTCCGGTCATCCCACCGCTCTCCCAGTCACCCCAGTCCAGGCACAAGTTGACCTCCTGGGGCTCGTTAGCTGCTGGAGATGGCTTTCCAGGCCACATGGCTGGTTAGATGTCATTTCTGTGTAGTCTCGCAGAACGCTGCTGGGTGCCAGTTCCATCACCCCATCTAACTGGAAGCCCAGGGTTTCTGGGCTGGTGTCACTGGGACCAGTCTCCATCCTCCCACCGAGGCAGAGGCTGCCAGTGGGGCACAGAGCTGCAAGAACAAAGAAAACAGCATTTCATGCCCTTTTCCAGTGCTATCTCTTGGGTTTGTTGGAGGTATCGGGTGCGAACGCGAGGGAGACATCGACGCCGAGATGTTCCTGGCAGTGCATCAAACGCTGAGGTCTGCCAACCAAAACCACAACGTGCTTTGGGACCGCGGTTTCCTTTCCCTCCCTGGAGCAGAGGAAAGTGGGCTTTTCTCACTGGCCGGTGCCAAGCACTCATTAAAGAAGAAAATTATCCCAAGGAGCCTGGGCCGGTTGAATTGGGCTTCAGCAGAGGACCAAGCCCCGATGCCGGATTTCTGCAAAGGGCATCGCCAGGGGACGTGTCCCTTCTGGAGGGAGGAGGTTGATGGGCTCCTGCATCACATTTCCATCCCTACGACAGAGACGTTAACAGCTCGTGTGCTGGGTCAGTGCTGAGATGTAACAGACCCCATGGTGGCCACCACAGCTCCAGCAAGGAGCTCCCTGGAGACACAACACTGAGGATGGAGCCTTTCTCCAGCGCTTCCCAGCCCAGGAGGTGGTGGAGACCACCCCCAGCACAGCCCCTGCCTCCAGGGCAGAGCTGTGGCCACCCCACAGTAGAAGAGCATCAACGCCCACAAGCTTGGTGACCTTTCCCCAAAGCTGGTCTGAATCTCAAGCGCCCTTGCCCGGGGAGATGAAGCTCTTCTGCTCTTGGTTTTGGGAGGCGATGGGTTGGATGGATCTTTGCCATGTGGTGCACGGCTTCTAGCTGTCATCCTTTCACTGGTGCAGGGTCATCCCTGGATCTGAGGAAGCTTCTTGGCTTGAAGAAGGTTAAGCTGTCTCTGGGGCTCCACCAGCCTTTGACGCACCCCCTTCCTCGTGCATCTCTTGGAGGCATCCTTGGTTTGGGGTGAGGATGGCACCACGGCAGCAACGCCATCAGGGTGGACCACCTGCAGGTGCCACCTCACCAGCACAGGGTCCCTCCCTCCATTTCTGTTGGTGTCCCACCTGGATGGAGGTCACCTCCTGGGCTTGGATGCGTCCCCTACGAAGGGACCCCCAAACTACAGCCCCCGTTTCCCACCTCCCGGAGGTCAGGGGTGCTCAGATAAGGGGGTTTCATCCAACCCCTTCTCCAATAAACAGCAAACCACGCTGGCAGCAGGCGCTGAATTTCTACGGTTTATGGGATTCTCTGAAATTTATAGGAAACAGACACCGAGCCAGGCACTGGTCCAAGCCCGGGCTTTAAGTAAAAGCCTGTTTTTTCCTGCAGCACTAGTCTTACACTTCTATAATGACTTTCTTCTGAGCACGGGAGAGCTCTCGGCTCCCCAGGAAATGCAGCCTGTCCTGGGGTGGATGAGCCTCCACATCGAAAATCCCAGGTCAGAGATGGTGTGACCTGGTCAGGGACAGCTTCTCCTCTCCACAGCAGAGCCCCGAGTTATCTTCCCTTGTTGGTATTTTCCCTTGTTGGTATTTTCCTGTCCTTGGTGCATTTTCCCCTCAAAATTACCCCAGCAGAGTATTATTTTCCTCGGTTCCAAATGGGGAAAATTACTCTGGAAAGTGATTATCCATCCAGTCGTCTTCACTCTTCTGTGGAGAACGTTGTGCAGGGAGCACACTGGGGAGGAAACAGCAGAACACGAGCCGAGGTGGGGGTCGCTCATCTGTAGATGCCTTGGGGGCAATAAGAGAAGCCCCCTCCCTGGACGCCACGTGCAGGTGGGGAGGGGGTTTGGGCGTGTTGCTGGAGGCAGAAGATGTTTCTGCCTGGGAAGATGGGGGCTGGCAGCTTCTCCCAGGCTTTGCTCCGGCACCGTGGTGATGGTCCCCTGCCCCCTGCAGACCCCGGAGCTCTTCCCTCCCTCCTCCAGGGATGTTTCCCCCACAATCTTGGTAGGTTTTGTGTCTTGCCTCTCTCGGCAGCGCTGAGCTTTTGGAGTAGAGGCGATGCCCAGGAGCAGGACGGTCGGTGAGGACCGAGCTTCTGCCGTGGGAAGAGCTGAGGGTCACTCGTCATGACGTCTGTGCCAGAATTGTGTGCAGAGTCCAGAGAAACCCAACCAAGCTGCACCAAGGGAAGCATCCGAGCAAGACCTTGAGGCTCGCTGGGTGAAGGCACTGGGCAGGACCTCCTGGTAGGACCCACAGTGATGCCAGCGAGGGTCTCTCCTGAACTGGGGGGGCTCTGTCCCCCAGCTTTGTCCCCATCTAGGGATGCTCCCCAGCCCGGACACCTCGGGGAGCTGGGCTGGACCCCATGGTGAAGGCAACCACTGAAGGGGCTGTCCTCTCTGGAGAGCTTCCATGGAGAAAAGAGAGACGGGAAGAAGGGAAAAAAAAAAGAGAAAAGAAGGAGAAAAGCCTTCCAGGAGAACGAGGAAGTGAAGGGGCTTGGAGGAGTGCAGGGGAAAAGCCAAGGTGGGTGGGGAAGGAGAAGGCAGAGGGGATGGGGTGTGCTTTGAAGGACCCTTGTGGAGCCCCTGGACCTGTTTTTAACAGCTCAGCATCTTTAACCTGGCCTTGAACATTTCCAGAGATGGGGCATCTACCACCTCTCTGGGAAACCTGCTCCCCTTGTTCAATTTCAATTTGTGCCAATTTTTTTTTCCTTGGTCTTTTTCTTAAGGGTTTCTGACTATTTCTGATGGTTGAGGTCTCCCGTCATTAGAGTGTTTCCCTTCCCCTGCAGCATCTCTTGTCCCCAACTTGTACCGGTTGCTGTCACCTCCCCCATGAGCCCAGCAGTCGAGTTGTTTGCCCCAGGAGTTCCAGCCCATGGCTTTTCTGCCCAGCACAGCTGACACATCCCTGCCCCTCGAGCTCCACCTTGCCGCCTTCCCCTCTCTCCATCATTTCTATATGATGCCCTGTAGGATGCAGCCTGGACCCTATGGGGCTTCTGACCCAAAAGAGCCAGATTTGGGGGAAAGACACAAAAAAAAAAAAACTCCATAATCGC